CATTTGAAATAAATAGAAATTCTGAAACTGAAAAACACAACTGATTATTAGGAACCCCGTGAATGGGTTTACCAGCATAGATACAGCTGAAGAGAAAATTAGTGAAGTGAAAGATAAATTAGGGAATAAATCCAGACTAAGCCACTGAGAGAGGCAAAGGATGGAGAAGACAGAAAAGAGTGTAAAAAACATGGAACATGGTGAAAAGTTCTTACGGATTAGGTCATTGAAGTTCCAGAAGGAGAGAAGAAAGTAAATGGCACAGAAGCAATTACAGGCATACCTCATTTTATTGTGCTTTGCACATAATTGCATTTTTTACAAATTGAAGCAAGCCTCTTTACAAATTCAAGCAAGTCTCACCACTCCATTTTTCCAACAGCATTTGCTCACTTTGTGCCATATGGTGAATTCTTCCAATATTTCAGACTTTCTCATTTATGTTTGTTACAGTGATCAGTAATCTTTGATATTACTATTCTAATTGTTTTAGGGCACCACGAACCGCACCCATGAGAAATGATGAACTTTTTTTTTTTTTAATTGAGCTCTACACCCAATGTGGGGCTTGAACTCAAGACCCCAAGATCAAGAGTTGTATGCTTAAAAAAAAAAGTTGTATGCTCTACTGACTGAGCCAGCCAGGCACCCCTGAAGTGGCAGACTTTTTTTTTTTTTTTAAGATTTTATTTATTTATTCTACAGAGGGAGAGACACAATGAGAACAGGAACACAAGCAGGGGGAGTGGGAGAGGGAGAAGCAGGCTTCCAGCTGAGCAGGGAGCCCGATGCGGGACTCGATCCCAGGACCCTGGGTTCATGACCTGAGCCGAAGGCAGATGCTTAATGACTGAGCCCCTGAAATGGCAAACTTAATTGATAAATGTTCTGTTTTCTGACTACTGACCAGCTCTTCCCCATCTCTCTCCCTCTCGTTTGGCCCCTCTTATTTCCTGAGATACAACAATATTGAAATTAGGACAATTAATACTCCTACATTGGCCTCTAAGTATTCAAGTGAAAGGAAGAATTGCACATTTCTCACTTTAAATCAAAAGCTAGAAATGATTAAGCTTAGCGAGGAAGGCACCTCTAAAGCTGAGACAGGCTGAAAGCTACACCTCTTGCACCAGTTAGCCAAGTTGAGTGCAAAGAAAAAGTTCTTGAAGGAAGTTAAAAGTGCTAGCTACTCCAGTGAACACTTGAAAGATAAAGTGAAACATTTACTGCCCAGGAGGAGAAAGTTTGAGTGGTCTGGATAGAAGATCAAATTAGCCCCAACAGTCCCTTAAGTCAAAGCCTAATCCAGAGCAAGGCCCTGGCTCTCTTCAATTCTGTGAAGGCTGAGAGAGGTGGGGAAGCTGCAGAAGAAAAGCGTGAAGTTAGCAGGGATGGGTTCATGAGGTTTAAGGCAAGAAGCCGTCTCCATAACATAGGAGCGCAGGTTGAAGCAGCGAGTGCTGATGTAGAAGCTGCAGCAAGTTCTCCAGAAGATCTAGCTCAGATAGTGGATGTGGCTCCACGAAACAACAGGTATTTCAGTGTAGACTGCACAGCCTTCTATCGGACGAAGATGCCATCTAGGACTTCCATATCTAGAGAGAAATCAAAGCCTGGCTTCAAAGTTCAGTCTGACTCTCTTGTTAGGGGCTCATGCAGCTGGTGACTTTAACTTGAAGCTGGTACTCATTTACCACTCCAAAATCCTAGGGCCCTTAAGAATTATGCTAAATCTACTCGACCTTTGCTCTGTAAATGGAACAACAAAGCCTGAATGATAGCACAGCTATTTACAGCATGGTTTACTGAATATTTTAAGCCCACTGTTGAGACTTCCTGCTCAGAAAATTTATTTCAAAATATTACTGCTCATTGACATTGTACCTAGTCACCCAGGAGCTCTGATGGAGATGTAAAATGAGATGAATGTTTTCATGTCTGCTAACAAGCATCCATTCTGCAGCCCATGGATTAAGGAGTCATTACGACTTTCAAGTCTTATTCCAGAAATACATTTCATAAGGCTATAGCTGCCGTGGATAGTGTATTCCTGTATGGAGCTAGGCAACATTAATTGAAAACCTCTAGAAAGGATGCCATTAAGAACATTTGTGATTCATGAGAAGGGCTCAAAATACCAACCTTAACAGGAGTTGGGAAGAGTTTGATTACAACCTTCGTGTATGACTTTGAGGGGTTCAAGACTTTAGCAGAGGAAGTACCTGCAGATGTGGTGGAAACAGCAAGAGAACTACAATCAAGTGGAACCTGAAGATGGGACTGAGTTGCTACAGTCTCATGATAAAACTTGAACAGATGAGGGGTTGCTTCTTACAGACGAGCAAAGAAAGTGGTTTCTTGAGATGAAATCTACTTCTAGGGAAGGTGCTATGAAGATTGTTGAAGTGACGACAAAAGACTTAGAATACTACATAACTTAATTAATAAAGCTGTGGCAGGCTTTGAGAGGATTGAAAGATTTTGAAAGACTTTCTACTGTGGGTATAATGCTATCAAATAGCACCACATGCTATAGAGAACTCACTTATGGAAGGAAGAGTCAGTCGAGGCAGCTGACTTCACTCTTGTCTTATTTTAAGAACTTGCCACAGCCACCTCAGCCTTCAGCAGCCTCCACCCTGATGAGGGAACAGCCATGGACATTGAGGCGGGACCCTCCACCGCAAAAAAGTTACAACTCACTAAAAGCTTAGATGATGCTTAGCGTTTTGTAACAATAAAGTATTTTTTAACTAAGGTATGTACGTTTTTTTAGGACCTACTACTATTGTATACTTAATAGATTACAGTATAGTATAAACTTAACTTTTATATGCACTGGGAAGCCAAAATACTCATTTGATTCACTTTATTGAGATAAGTGCTTTATTGTGGTGGTCTGGAATCGAACCTGCAATACCTCTGAAGTATGCCTGTATATTCTGGATATATATATTTGGATATATGTATGTATTACAGATACATTCTTTGATTCTGTATGTGTTTTTACTCTTTATAGGGTATCTTGATAAACAGAAGTTTTTATAAAGTAGGAGAATTTTAATTAACTTTTTTATGTGTGTGGTTAATACTTTTTATAGTCCTGTTTAAGAAAATTTTCTCTGTAGTGAAGATAATTTTCTTATATTATCTTCTAAAGCTTTATAGATCTGCCTTTCACATTTAGCTCTATAACCCAAGGTCTACTTTTTTGGTTGTTTTTTGTGTGTGTGTGTGTGTGTGTGTGTGTGTGTATGTATGGTGTTTTGTTTTTTGGTATAGTGTAAGGTGAGGGCTTAGTTTATTTTTTCTATATGGATACCCAATTGTTCCACTACTATTTTTGGAAAAGACCACTCCTTTGTGATAAGTGAAGGGCCTATATATGTGTGGGTCTCTTTCTAGACTTTTCCCTTCCACTAATTTATTTCTCTTTCCCAGACACAGAAAAATCCATGTAAGTGGAAAATACAAAATAAGATGGTAGGAATAAATACAGATTTATTAGTCATTATTAACAAATATAAAATGTACTAAACTCACTAGTTTAAAAACGAAGACTGTTACATTGGGTTTTAAAAATACTGCTACAGGGCGCCTGGGTGGCTCGGTTGGGCGACTGCCTTCGGCTCAGGTCATGATCCTGGAGTCCCGGGATTGAGTCCCGCATCGGGCTCCCTGCTCAGCAGGGAGTCTGCTTCTCCCTCTGACCCTCCCCCCTCTCATGTGCTCACTTTCTCTCACTCTCTCTCTCAAATAAATAAAATCTTTTAAAAAAAATACTGCTACATGTTCTTTAAAAGAAACCTACATAAAACATAAGAACTCAGAAGGTGAATGTAAAATATGGGAAAAAGAATTATTAGGCAGGGGCGCCTGGGTGGCTCAGTTGGTTAAGCGACTGCCTTCGACTCAGGTCACGATCCTGGAGTCCCTGGATCGAGTCCCGCATCGGGCTCCCTGCTCGGCAGGGAGTCTGCTTCTCCCTCTGACCCTTCCCCCTCTCATATGCTCTCTCTCTCTCATTCTCGCTCTCTCAAATAAGTAAATAAATAAAATCTTTAAAAAAAAAAAAGAATTATTAGGCAAATTCTGGAGGTCTTTTTTTTTTTTTTAAAGCATTCTCTACACCCAGTGTGGGGGCTGGAGGTCCTTTATATGGCAAGGAATGGTATCTCAGTTGAGCTCCATGGGGTTCAAGGCCCCTCTGCTCCCAGACCCTAGTGGCTGTTACAACTCTGGGCTCTACATTACTTCCCAGGGCGGCAATGTTCTTTTTTTTTTTTTTTTAATGATTTTTATTTATTTATTTGACAGAGACACAGCGAGAGAGGGAACACAAGCAGGGGGAGAGGGAGAGGGAGAAGCAGGCTTCCCGTGGAGCAGGGAGCCCAATGTGGGGCTCCGTCCCAGGCCCCTGGGATCATGACCTGAGCCGAAGGCAGACGCTTAATGACTGAGCCACCTAGGCACCCCAGCCATGTTCTTTATGTCTATCCTTGGGAATTATTTTAATTGTGTTGTCGGGTGAGCCGTGCATTTAAAATGAACTTGTCCTAGTTCATCTAGCACCTTTTAGGTGTTAGTGCAATGTCTTCCTCCCCCCTGCAGTGTTTAGTCTGCTGTGTAATTTCTTTTTTTTAAGATTTATTTTTACATCCTCTCTGCAGTCATTGTGGGGCTCAAACTCACAACCACAAGATCAAGAGTCGCACACTCCACCGACTGAGCCAGCCGTGCCCCCCCTTGTCTGCTATGTAATTTCTGGACCATTAGTCTCTCATATGGTTTTAAGAACCCACCCTCCTAGGGGAACCACTAAAAATGCAAACTAATTGCCCATGGGCAGGGGTGTTATGAATCATTTCTTATGGTCTTCGACGTGCATTTTTTAATATTTCTGCAACAGAGCACATATTTTATAACTTTTTTTTAAATTGAAAAAGGAAATTATCCTTAAGATCCTCCAAGTAATAGCCCTTCTTTTCCATTTGTTGCAGGTGGTGCGATTGTGTCAGAACCCAAAGCTGGCGCTAAAGAATAGCCCACCTTATATCTTAGACCTGCTGCCAGATACCTACCAGCATCTCCGCACTATCTTGTCAAGATATGAGGGGAAGATGGAGACACTTGGAGAAAATGAGTATTTTAGGGTGTTCATGGAGAATTTGATGAAGAAAACTAAGCAGACCATAAGCCTCTTCAAGGAGGGGAAAGAAAGAATGTATGAGGAGAATTCTCAGCCTAGGTAATGGCAAATACTACACAAATACTTATTCAGGTCTGTGACTGCCTAAATGGGTAACACTTAGAAGTAGCTGTGACTTGGTTTGACTTTTTAGGTCAACGAAAATGCAAAGTTGACATTTGATTTAAAGGTGGGTTTTATATCAGACGTTGCCTTGAAGGATGTTGAATCCCCCTCTGAAAAGTCAGTGCCTTTTGGTCATGAAGACGAGTTGGAGGCAGTAGGTCCATTAGGGACCCCGAAGGTCATGAAAGTTTGGGGACAGGTGAGAGTTTGACAGAAGGTCGAGGTTAAGCTGAGGCTGGGAGTCAGCAAGAAGAGGGCAGATTCTGCCAGAGCTCTGGCTTATTTAGGGAAGTCAAAAGTGCGGGATAATAATAGGTAACCCCCCCTTTTTTTTTTAAATCAAAGTGAAATGACATTTCTTTTATAGGTAACTTTTCCAGTAGAATAGATATTGACAAATGTAGTTAATTCAGTAAATATTTGACGGACTCCTGTGTCTTCTTTTATATTTATTACTGTATTCGGTATCCCATATGTTACTAGTTTGGCTATTATAAATTACTGGGAGAGAAATGGGTTGATTGTAGGTATGGTTATATTTGGTTTGGTCCAGTTGGAAATAATTAACTCATCTAGGACAAGTAATAAAATGTAAATTCCACTAGAACTTTGTAGGTAGTAAATTAACTTTCAAGGAGTGACATGAATTAGGAAGAACAGTAATTTTTGAGGGCATTAAGTAAGCGTGTATTACTCAAGCACTAACTTACTAAATGGTATCCTTATAGCCTACCTACCACTCCTTTGACTCTGTTGACTTAGATTCTGAAAACCCTCATCTCTTCGTTAAAATTTTAGCCACGTCATTATTCATAAGTTTAGTACGACAGATTACTCAGGTTTGGTCCAGAGTATCAGTCTTTTCTCATTAAAAAGATTTCTGGTGACTGAATTCAATCTGTAGGAACCTTTGTAACTTCTAGTTTATATGAAAATGAACTTTATTCTTTTTAAATATTTAAATTTTGTGACTTTTGTTAAGATAAAACCTGACTATGTGGATTGTAGCTAACTGGTGATTTTGTATTGCTGAATTTTTAAAAAATAATTTTACTTTATTTACTTTAAAAATTTAACTTAGCATCTACAGCAGACTAGGTTCTAACTGTAGGAGGTGAAAAGGGGAGTGAAGCTTCTAATTATGATGTGCTGAGGTAGATGCTTTAATAGAGAGAGAGGTACAAAAGGCTGCGTGAACACAGGTTTGCCTTGTGGTGTCAGGGCATGTGGCACAAAGGAAGTGTGATGTGAGCTAGGTTGTAGAAGGTGAGTAGAAATTTTCTAATTAGAGAAGTGAAAAAAAGGTCTACCACAGGCGCGTGAACTTGCGCAGGCTCTGTATGTTGAAGGCACATGAGCAGTCTGGTTTGGCTAGAATTGAGAAAGACAAGGGAGCTGTGACTACAGATGGGAGTCAGGCTGTAAGTGTTCTCTTACCTCTAGACATTCCCCCGTGCATAATAGGCTTCTATAGAAGAGTTCTTGTTGTTGTTGTTGTTAAAGAGCACTTTTATAGTGAAATAAAAATTGTAGATTTCCCAGTTTTAGAGCATACTGAACATTATTTAACATGTTTTTTTTTTCCGATGGATTGTTCATCCCTGAGAGACAGTATGGTGTACTGGTTAAGAGAATGGACTCTGAAGCCTGCGTTTGGATCTTAATTTTGCCACTTAGCTCTGTGATCCCTGTTTCTGCATCTGTAAAATGAGCTAACAGTAGTACTCTCTTTGTAGGGTTGTTGGGAGTTATTAAATGAGTGAGTAAATGTTCAGTACTTAGAATGGTGATTGGCACAATGAAAGTAATAAGTGGGTTAGCTCTAATTTTAATCATCATCCTCATTTTCTTTACTGTAAACATACACTGTGTATTAGTGAGACTGCCAGATCATAATGAAGTACGTAGACCAATTTAGCCTTAATAAGTGGCCCCATACTATTGTTTTCAAGTTCTTTAGCCATTTTTTTTTAACCTTCCTCTCAGTATGTTTGTCTATCAGTTTTATTACCCATAATAGGAAGTTTTTAATACACTGTGGGCTTTGAGGTTTGTACAAGTTATATGTAAAGTGAGAATAAATAAATTTCAGTTGCGATTCAGATTTTTTTTTTAAAGGAAAATGTATGGCTTTACTGTGTGACCTTTGTGAGCTGTATTTCGGTTCCTTAAAGAATTTTTTCCTAATCAGTTTTTTAAATTGAGATATTAACATATCATAAAATTCACCCTTTTACAGAATGTAATTCGGTGGTTTTTGGTATGTTCACAAAGTCGTGTAACCGTCTCCAGTATCTAATTTCAGAATGTTTCCATCATCTCAACAAGAAACCCCACACTCATTAGCAGTCACTGCCCATTCCCCACTCCTGCTTCTCCCCCAGCCCCTGGCAGTCACAAATACCGACTTTCTGTCTCTGAAGATTTGCCTGTTTTAGAAGTGGACTTGGAACTTGGGGCCTTTTTTGTCTGACTTTCCTAGCACATATTTTCACAACTCATTCATGTTTTAGTGTGGGTCAGTACGTCTTTCCTTTTTAATGGTAAATAATACTCGATTGCATGGATATACCACATTTTGATTATGGACATTTGGGTTGTTTCCCCTTGATATAATGAATAATGCTGCTATGAACATCTGCATACAAGTTTTTGTGTGGCTACATGTTTTCAGTTCTCTTGGGTAAATACCTGGGAGAGGAATTGCTAAGTCATATGGTAATTCTAGTTTAACTTTTTGAGGAACCGTTGACTGTTTATCACAGCAGCATTTTACATTCTTCCAACGATGTATGAGGAGAGTTCCAGTTTCTCACCAACACTTGTTATTTTTTTGTTTTTGTTTTCATTTTTTTTTTTTTTATAGCTGTCCTACTGGTATGAAGTAGCTATCATTGTGGTTTTGATTTGCATTTCCCTAATGAGTAATAATGTGAGCTTTTTTCATGTGTATATTTTCTTTGGAGGATTATCTATTCAAATCCTTTGCCCAGTTGGGGTTCTTTTTCTTTTTATTGTTGAGTTGTAGAGTTCTTTACATATTGTGGATACTAGACCCTTATCAGATATATGATTTACAAAATTTTATTCCCATTCTGTGGGTGGTCTTTTCACTTTCTTTTTAGTGTCATTTGAAGCACGAACAATTTTAATTTTGGTGAGGTCCATTACTTTTTCGTTGGTAACTTGTGCTTTTGCTCTCATGGCTAAGAAACCATTGCTTAATATTAATCTTAATCATGAAGATTCTGCCTGTGATCATTTTGAGTTAATTTTTGTATGTGGCGGAAGGTAAGAGTCCAACTTTATTATTTTGCATATGGGTATCCTTTAGTGCCAGCACCGTTTATTGAAAAGAACATTCTTTCCCCATTGAATTGGCTTGATGCCCTTGTCAAAAGTCAGTTGTATGAAGGTTTATTTCTAGGTTCTCTGTCTTCTTTGCATTGGTTATATGTCTATCCTTAGACCAGTACCCACACCGTCCTGATTACTGTAGCTTTGCAGTAAAGTTTTGGAATCAGCAAGCGTGAGTCCTCCAACTTTGTTCTTTTTCAAGATGGTTTTGGCTATTTGAGGTCCCTTGAGATTCCTTATGAGTTTTAGGATCAGTTCACCAATTTCTGCACAAAGGGTGGCTGTTATTTTCTTAGGAATTGCATTGGACTGGTACATCTGTTTGGGAAGTATTGCTATCTTAACACTAAGTCTTCCGATCTATGAACATGGGATGTTTTTCCATTTGTTAAGGTCTTTTAAAACCCATCTTTCAGCAGTGTTTTTGTAGTTTCCAGTGTACAAGTTTTTCACCTCCTGGGTTTAATTTATTCCTAAGTGGGCGTGCTTGGTGTCTCAGTTGGTTAAGCGGCCAACTCTTGGTTTCAGCTCAGGTCCTGGGGTTGAGCCCTGCATTGGGCTCTGCACTCAACAGGGAGTCTGCTTGAGGATTCTCTATCTCCCTCTCCCTACCCCGGCGCATTCGTGCTCTCTCTCTCAATAAATAAATAAAAATCTTTTAAAAATTAAAATTAAAAAATAAGTCTTAAAAAATTTTATTTCTGGGCACCTGGGTGGCTCAGTCGGTTAAGTGTCTGCCTTTGGTTCCAGTCATGATCCCAGAGTCCTGGGATTGAGTTCTGCTTTGGGGCTCCCTGCTCGGTGGGGAGACTGCTTCTCCCTCTCCCTCTCCTGCTCCCTCTGCTTGTGCTCTCTCCTTCTTAAAAAATTTTTTTTTTATTCCTAAGTGTTTTATTCTTTCTGATGCAATTGTTTTCCCAATTTCATTTTTGGATAGTTTATTACTGGTATATAGAACACATTGATTTTTGTATATTGATTTTGTATCCTGTAACTCTGCAGGACTCATTTATTGATTCTAGTAGTTTCTTACTGGATTCCTTGGGATTTTTTACAAACAAGACCGTGTCGTGTGCAAATAGAGAAAGTTTTACTACTTCTTTATGGATGCCTTTTATTTTTTTCCTTGCCTAGTTGTGGTGACTAGAACTTCATGTTGAATAGAATTTATGTTGAATAGAAGTGGTGAGAGCAGACATCCTTGTCTTGTTCTTGATACGAGGAGGAAAGCTTTCAGTCTTTCACCATTGAGTATGATGTTAGCTGTGGGATTTTCATAGATGTCCTTTATCAGGTTGAGAAGGTTTTCTTCTGTTCCTTGTTCAGTGTTTTTCATCATGATAAAGGGTATTACAGGCCTTTTATGCTTCGTTCCTGGTTTTTCTTCTTGGGAGAGAGAAATTTGTGGACTTGTAAAATTCTAGAAAAAGTGACTATGTTAAGTTGCACTAAGGGCAAGGAGTAACCGAAACCAGGATTGGAAGGGTTGCCGGGACTCTGTATTCTCTTGGTGCAAATTGATGTCTGAATTGCTGGAAAACTGACCTCTGCTACATCCAACATTTACATCTTATTGG